CCATGACGGCCCAAGAGGCCCCCAAGACGGCCCCAAGATGGCGCCAAGACGGCCCAAGAGGCCTCGAAGACGCCCAAGATGGCCTCTAAGACGGCCCTGGAGCACCACAAGAGGGCCCCAAGTCGGCCTAGAAAGGCCCCCAAGACGGCTCCCGACGGCGTCAGACGGGCCAGGAGCTCACCAAGATGACCGAAGGTGGCTCGCAGCTTGCCCAAGACGGCCCAAGAGGCCTCCAAGAGGGCCTCCAGGAAGGCCAGAAAAGACCAAAAAGAGTGATTGTCCGAAGGTTCATGTGCTTCGTTTCGGCCTTCCGACGGCCCGATACGGCCCAATAGCCCCTAAGATCGCCCAAGGATCGCCCAAGAGGCCTCCAAGATGACCCCAGAACGGCCCAAGAGGCGCCCAAGATGGCCCCAAGAGGCCCCCAAGACGGCCCAAGAGGCCTCCAAGACGCTCAAGATGGCCTCCAAGACGTCCAAGAAGGGACGAAAGGGTCAAAATTGCCTCCAGGCGGCCAAGATGACCTTCTAGATGCCCACGTGTTCCCCGAAGGCTTCCAAACCGATTCGGGGAACCACATGGTCCAATAGCTTGGCAGGTCTGGCCTCAACGTTCGGCCACACAGGCGCGTCCACAAAGGCAGGGGGCGGCGGTGATTCGCCATAGGCGTCTTCGATCCGCCGCCCCCTGTCGATTCATCACAGGGGTGCCTGGCGTGCTGAATTATGACGGTGCTGGTGTTGGTTCTTTTTCCAAAAGAACTCCCCCTGGGGCTTCGGCCCGTCCCGCCGGCCACCCGGAAGGCCCGCAATTCTCACATTTGTTCGCTCAAGATGGCCCAAGATGGTCTCCAAGATGGCCACGTTGGCCCAAGATGGCCTCCAAGATGGTCCAAGATGGCCTCCAAGTCCGCCCAAGATGGTCCAAGACGGCCTCCCATACGGCCCAAGATAGTCCAAGACGGCCGAAGACGGCCCAAGAGGCCCCCCAGAGGCCTCCAAGACGGCCCAAGAGGCTTCCAAGAGGTCCTCCAGGAGGGCCCGAAGAGGCCAAAATCATTGATTTGCCTTAGGTTGTTGAAGGATGTTCGCATTTCTTCTCGGCTTTCCGACGACCCAAGACGGCCCAAGAGGCCCCCAAGATCGCCCCCACAGCGCCCAAGAGGCCTCCAAGATGGCCTCAGGACTGCCCAAGAGGTCCCCAAGACGGCCCCAAGAGGGCACAAAGACGACCCAAGAAGCCTCCAAGACGCCCAAGGTGGCCTCTAAGACTGGAGCACCCCAAGAGGGCCCCGAGTCGGCCCAGAAAGGCTCCCCAAACGGCTTCCGACGGCGTCAGACGGGCCAGGGGCCCACTAAGACAAGACGGCCGAAGTTGGCTCGAAGCTGGCCCAAGACGGCCCAAGAGGCCTCCAAGAGGGCCTCCAGGAAGGCGGCCAGAAAAAGTGTTCGAAGGATTTTGACATGTGCTTCGTTTCAGCCTTCCGACGGCCCGATACGGCCCAAGAGCCCCCAAAAATCGCCCAAAGATCGCCCGAGAGGCCTCCAAGATGGCCCCAGAACGGCCGAAGAGGCCCCCAAGACGACCCCAAGAGACGGCCTCAATATTGCCCAAGGCCGCCAAAGAGGCCCCCAAGAGCCTCCAAGACGGCCCAAGAGGTCTCCATGAGGTCCTCCAGGAGGGCCCGACGAGATCAAAATATTTGATGTTCCTTAGCATTTGCACCTTTTCGGCTTTCAAAGACTTTGGCATGTGTTTCTTCTCGGCATTCCGACGGCTGAAGGCGGCCCAAGAGGCCCCTAAGATCGCCCCAAGATCGCCCACGAGGCCTCCAAGATGGCCCCATGACGGCCCAAGAGGCCCCCAAGATCGCCCCAAGAGGCCTTCAGGACGGCCGAGGTGGCCTCCAAGACGGCTAAGATGACCCCAAGATGCCTTCAAGACGGCCCAAGATGCATCCAAGACGGCCTCAGACGGCCCAAGAGGCCCCGTCCGAAGAGACCAAAATCATTGCTTTTCCTTGAGGTTTTGAAGGATTTTGGCATTTGCTTCTTCTCGGCATTCCGACGGCTGAAGGCGGCCCAAGAGGCCCCTAAGATCGCCCCAAGATCGCCCACGAGGCCTCCAAGATGGCCACATGACGGCCCAAGAGGCCCCCAAGACGGCCCCAAGAGGGCCCCAAGACGGCCCAAGAGGCGTCCAAGACGCCCAAGATGGCTTCGAAGACGGCCCTGAAATGCCCCAAGAAGGCCCCAAGATGACTCAGACAGGCCCCCATGACGGCTTCCGACGGCGTCAGACAAGCCAGGAACGCCCTAAGACGGCCAAAGAGACCCCCAAGAAGCCCCCAAAGGCCCCCAGCAGGCCCAAGGAGGCCCAAAAGAGGCCTCCAAGAGGCCCCCAGCAAGCTCCCAGGAGGCCCCAAAAGTGCCCCAAGAGGCGCCCAAGAGGCCTCCTCCTCTGTCTTCCTCCCTCTCCTCCTGCCTCCTCCCCCACAATGTTCCCCGAACGCTTTCCAAACCGACCCGGGGAACACATGGTCCGATAGCTTGGCAGGCCTCTGGCCACAACGTTCGGCCACATAGGCGTTTCCAAAAAGGCAGGGGGCGGCGGTGATTCGCCGTAGGCATCTTCGATCCGCCGCCCCCTGTGGATTTATCACAGGGGTGCCTGGCGTGCTGGATCCTTTCGATTTTGGTTTTGGTTCTTTTTTCAAAGAACTCTCCCCTGGGGTTCCGGCCCGTCCCGCCAGCCCCGCGGAAGGGACCATAAACGACCACAAAGGCCGCACAAACGACCTCAAAGACGGCTCCATGTGGCCTCCAAGAGGGCAAGATGGCTTCCAAGTTCGCCCAAGAAAGTCCAAGATAGCCTCTAAGAAGGCCCAAGAGGGTCCAACATACGTCCAAGTCCCATAGCTTGGCCAAGGTGGGGCCCAACGTTTGGCCACAGAGGCGCTTCCCTTTCCCAAAAGGCAGGGGGCGGCCGTGTTTCGCCGTAGGCGTCTTGATACCTTGCTTCAAGTACACTTTTTCATGGTTCTGACCTGTCCTAGGATTTCTCGAATGGCGCGCTCACTTTCACCATGGGCCGGTGAGTTTCCGAATGGGCCCATGTAGACTCGAATCGCTGTTTGAGTCGCTGCTTCCCCAGCGTCCTTCAGCGCCGCGATGGATAATCCACCGCCACTTCTCATGATGATACGGCGGCGCCCGGCGAGCGCAATCACGTTTCCAAATGATTTCTCTTCCTCCTCATCCTCCTCCTTCTCCTCCTCCTCCTCCTCCTGCGCGCGCAGGGGAGGAGGAACGAGGGAGGGAGGTTGAAGAGGGTGTGAGCAAGTCTTGGGGAACTGAGGTTGTTATAAAGGGATTTTGGCCAGCAAGTGGGGGACTCATCTAAGGATGAGGACTGGATGAACTAGTTTTACGATTGAGCTAATGGGCAAGCCCAGCACGCACCACCGATGCTGCAGCACAAGCTCCTGCCCAGGCTCCCTCCTCACAACTCTGTGCATGCACTTGCCTTCACTCCATTGGCGAGCACGCTCTGGAACCGCGAGGGTCCCATGGAGACGCACTTCTTGGCTCGGGCAGTCGGCACTGGGGAGCTCCAGGTCTGTCAGCTCCAGGCTCCAGAAGACGCCCCCAAAAAGGCGTTCCCGAAGTCATGCCCACGCGCGCTGCGCGCGTGCAGGATCTCGGTGTAGCCTTCGGCCCTGACGTCATCGGCCAGCTCCAGAAACTCAGCCCGTGGCACCCCTGTCGTCAGAGCGGCCAGGCACTCCAGGGAAGCATCCGCTGATGCCGAGAAAGACTTGTCAAGACAGACTCTCCCGATAGAGAGGTGTGCAGGCACTCCCAAAATCGATCACACAAATGGCTGGGCTGAGCGAGCCGCGGCCGTGGAGCCCACGGCGAGCAGTGGAGAAGTAAAGAGGCGGCCAGTGCAGGCCGTGCGGCCGGCAAGTGAGGCGCAGCAGGGGGCGAGGAACAACGAGCCGTCGAGGCGGTGCAGATCGGCGGCGGGACGGAAGTGGGGAAGGGGCGGGCCTTCTCAGAAGGCTCGGATGTTCCCCGGGCCTCTGAGAAGTTCTCCGAGCCTTCCCTCAGAGTTGACGATAGGGGCGAATAGCCCAGGGGGGAGCAGTACATGTATCCGGGGGCGCCGATGATCTATGTCTTCGGCGAGGCTCCCGGGCGAATACGTGTAATGCCCGCCCCTGGGCTATTCGCCCTTATCGTCGCCGCCGATTCCTCGAAGGCGCAGAAGAAGCCTCAGAAGGCGCGAAGGCTTCTGAGAAGTCCCGCCGCCTTCTGAGACGGCGTGCCCCTTCTGGCTTCCCCCCCTGGCTCGCCGCCGGGCAGAAGGTGGCGAGCAAGACGATCGATCACGAGAGGAGGGCTTGCCGTGTTGCTTTTTCCTCGCACAGATGAGTTGTCCATTGCCCAGGCTCCGCTGCAACTGTACAGCTGCTACTTTGCAGGGCCGGACATGCGGCGCAGGTACCTGGAATTATTATGCAGGCCTGCGCAAACCATAGAAGCATGCATGTTGTTCGCGAGCGAGTCGCACACCACAATGAGAGGCTGCGAAAGATGGCAGGTCATATCCGTTGAATTCACGGGGGCGACAACGGGGGCATGCGCACAGGAGCCAATCGGAAAAACGAGCTTGTCACGAGGAGGCGATGCACGCCCAGGGTGGGCGGCTTCGCTTGCCCAGCTGCCGTGAGCTGCCCCGTCGCTCGAGCTCTGGCACGCTCGAAGTGGGCACGGAACACGTGGGCACGACGCCCAACAGCAAACGCTGTCCGAAGCCGGCAGCGGCCGCTGTCGGGCAAGCGCCCCCGCGCACCGAGAGGGCACCATCCGGGGCGACGCCGACGGCGAACCCTGCTCAACATGGACCGGGTCTGCTGCTGCCAGCCCCCGTCCCCATCCCGCATCCCGTCCGCATGCCCACCTCGGTCGTGACAGAGAGCTTCCCCCCTCCGTACGTCACTGCACCGCGCAGCAGGCGCCGCTGCCCGCCACCTTGGCGTCGCAGACCTCCTTGACGGCGGGCTGCTTCTCCGCGCGGGCGCCCGGCTCCTGGGCCTCGCCCTGCGCGCCCGGGCCCTCGGCGGCGCCCGCGACGCCCGTGATGTCCTCCGCCGGCGGGGCCGTCAGCCCCGGGGGCCCGCGGTCCCCGCCGTGCGCGGAGGCCCTCTGCGAGCGCCGCCCCTCGAACTCCCGGACGAGGTCCGCGGCCTTCTGGCGGGCCTCGTCCTCGAAGCTGTTCCGGGTCTCCCAGTCCGCATACACCTCGGAGGATCGTTTGGCCGATGCCCCTCCCACGCGGCGTGGCCTGGGCCCCGCTGGCCGACTTACCCCCCTAGACGGGGATACAGGTCGTTCCCTTCGGGTTTCGAGGGGTATATCCCAACTGGGGTGGTGATTTGGTGGGGGTCTCGAAGGGGATGGGGATGGGGATGGGGATCGTTTGAACGATACTGAACCTCGTCGTCGTCCACCGCTGAGGCCCTCGCCGCCGCGTCGGACTCCTCGAACTGCTGGAAGCAGCTGATGTCCGTGTCGCTGTCGTTCGTGTTGGGGCGGAACGGCGGCGTGATCACGCCCTGAGCGACGTCGTTCCAGTTGACGCCCTTGAAGAGCGCGTGATCCTTCACGTGCTTCGTCTTGCCGAAGGCCTCGACGGCTTCTCTGCAGCCCATTCTGCGGATGGGATCCACCATGATGAGTCTCTTCAGGTAGTCTTGGACGCTCCTGTAGTTCTTGTCGATGCTCCAGGCCGGCGGGTAAGAGGGGTTTCCGTTCACGATCGCGGCGAACACGACCTTCTCGTCGTAATCCGCCCCTTTGTCGTCGAATGGCACGTTGCCGGAGAGCATCTCATACATGAGGATACCCACCGCCCACCAGTCCACCGCCAGGCCGTGGCCCTGCCGCATGACGATCTCGGGGGCCATGTACGCCGCGGTCCCGCACACGGTGTACGTCCTCTGGCCTTTCAAGTACTTGGCGAACCCAAAATCGGTGAGCTTGATGTGGCCAGTCCTATGGAGCAGAATGTTCTCAGGCTTGAGGTCACGGTAGGCGATCAGCAGGCTGTGGAGGTAGGACACGGCACTCACGACCTCCATGTTGTAGAATTTGGCCCGATCGAGAGTGAAGCGCTTCGCCTTTCTGAGCTCATGGAAGAGCTCGCCGCCGTTGATGAGCTCGAGCACCATGTAGAGCCGCGAGTCGTCCTGGAAAGTGGTCAGCAGCTGGATGACGAAGGGGTTCTGGATGGTCGCAAGGACCTGTTTCTCTGCGATGACGTGCTGCACCTGGTCGAGCTCTTTCATGTTTGACTTCTTCAGGATCTTCAGGCAGACCGGCAAGCTGTGGTTGTCCTTCACCTTTTGGCAGCGCGCACAAGGGGGTGGAGGGAGGGAGGGGGAAAGGGCTTCTTCGAAGGAGGCAGCTTCTTAGAAGACGCCGGCCTTACATTTAGAGATAGGGCCCGCGCCTTCTGAGAAGCAGGGGTGCTTCTAAGAAGCCCTCCCCCCTCCCCCCACCCCCATCTGCGCGTGGCCGAACCTTCGCCGTCCGGACCCGAGCATAGCGTCCCACCCCGATCGTGCGGCCGAGGTCGAAGCTGTCCAAGGAGTAGCTCTTGTCGATCGCCCTGGCCCACGCCGTGCTGCTCTCCAGCAGCGAGGTGCGCCCGGCCCGGTGGCTGACGTCCGGCGGCAGCTCGCCCGTTCCGCTGTCGGAGGTCTGGATCTGGGACGTGCGGCGGAAGGTGTCCATTGGCCGCCGAAGGCAAGGAGGCCCACCGCCCGCGGGTTCTGCAGCAACTCACGGGAGCCTCCCATGCAATCTTGCTGGCTCTTGCGAATCGGCGCTAGCCGACGCTAATCGACGCCGACCAGCGCTCGACGCCAATCGACGCTGAATCGTTACTAATCGACGATGTGTCGGCGCTTCCTCATCGGTTACCAGACGCTAGCGCTCGCGGACGCTGATGCACTCTACAAGCGGAACGAAGAGGACATGCAAGGCTCTCATGATGTGCTACCGAACGCGGAGGCGGCTCGGGAGGCGGCCGGGCTAGGAGTGCGCGCGCGCGTGGAAGAGCGGCGGGCGGCTTCTCAGGCCTGGCCTCGGGAGCGTGAGCCCAAGGCGGCGGGCACACGTGCATGTGCACCGGTGGCGACGACGAGGGCGAATAGCACAGAAGCGGGCATTACACGTTCTCGCCTGGGAGCCTTATCGAAGACATGGATCATCGGCGCCCCTGGATCCGTGTATTGCTCTCCCCTGGGCTATTCGCCCCTATTGGCGCCTGGCGCTGGTTCCTGACACCGCGGGGCTCGTTCAACCTTGAACGATCGGCCGATTCCGAAACGCCAGATCGTTCAACATCGACCGATGCTGGGTCGCGCGGCGGCGTTCAACGATGAGCGCCCGCGGCGGGGTCGCCGCTGGTCGACACGACGCGAACATACCGTACTCGCATTGACTGGTGGATGATCTTCCCTCGCACGCATCAGCACGTTTCGATGCTGGGCCTGCGGCTCGCGCGCGTGCCGTTCGCATCATGAGCCAATCGAAGAGAGATCGCAAGGCAGATCCGCAACTCGAGTCGAGAAGGGTGAAGGCCGGTGCTGCACTACGCAGCGCAGCACCACCCAGACCGTAACAGCGACCCCAAAACAGTGCCGCCGCACGTCACCGGCTGGGACGTCGACTGCAGCGTGAACCAGTGGATTCAATCCACGGAGCTGCGCAAGTCGAAGCTTGCAGGCGCACGCTTCTGCTTCTGGCGCGGAATCGGTGAGGCCCCCTGAAGATGTCTTACGAGCATTCGAGCCCTATTGGGCAGACTCGCGGCCTCGCAACTGTTTTTGTTGGCCTCTCTGGGATCATTTAGTAATCTATCAAGCCGCCCTGGGGGCCTCTTGGCCCGCCTTCGGGCCCCTCCTTGGCCGTCTTGAAATCTCTTTGAAGCCTCTTGGGATCATTTGGGCCGTCGTGGGGGCCTCTTGAGGCCCCCTTGGGTCTTCTCGCTGCGCGATCGTGGGAGCCTCTTGGGCCGTCTTGCGGGCCCTGAAGCTTGAAAGCGTGAGTATCTTAAAATTCCTCCGAATATATATATATATATATATATAGATATGAGGAATCAAATGATAATGGCCCTCTTGGGGGCCATCGTGGGGGCGTCAGGGGGGGTCTTGCACTCTTGAGAGCATATTTGATAGCCTTGGGCCGTGCATGAGCCCTCCTCATGAGAGCATCTTTAGCCGCCTGGGGTCCGTCTTGGGCGAACCCAAGGCCTGCTTGGATCGTCTTGAAACCCTCTTGGGAGCCTCTGGAGCCATATTATGGCTTTCCAGCGGCCCGGGGCCCAGGGATTCCAACGACCCGGTAATCGCAGCGTCGATATATTGGAATATGTCAGCAAAAACACACACATGCGTTTTATACTCACAAGACTATGCGTGTGCATGTGTATGTACATTTGCGCATGTACATACAACACGTGCTTGTTACACATGTATGTGTATACACGTAAGTGTACATATATATACATATATACACATATGCATATGTGTGCGTATACATGTGTGTAACTATATACATATAGATATATGCCAACCGATCTACACACAACTATGACTACATATGCGCACGTAAACACCCACACTAATTATGCGCAACACGTATACATCCACTTTTTTATATGTATATGGATGTACGAACTGTTTGTGCGAGTACACACAAACCAAAGGTGTTGTCTGGGCGGCTGGTGGTCTAGAGCGGTTTCCTGAAATCCTCCCTTCGATCCCCGGCTTCACGAAGGGGCGGGCCGTGCCCCCCCAATGCCGCGCCCCAAGCAGAGACCCAGGGGCCCCATCATCCGCGAAGAGTTCGTTTCAAAGTTTCGCCGTCGGCTTCTGAAACCGCAGACGCCGATCCTGAAGACCGCAGGCCCCCAAGCCGCCGCGAGAGGCCCGCACGAGGTCACCAAGACAGCCCAAAGCGTCCATGGGGATCCAACAGACACTTTGGACGACCCAAAAAGCCGCCGAGACAACGAACGCCCCTGAGACATCGGCATGAATCGACGAAGCTGCACCCGAGACCCCCCGACCCGACAATATCCAAAAAGCCCCCGAGACCCAAGAAGCCCATGAGACATCGGGATGAATCTCAAAAGCCACCAGGGGCCCCAGAAAGCGAAGCGAACAAACGGAGAAAGCGATCCACAAAGGCTACGGGCGTTTCCTTTGATGCGCGGACGCAAGCGCGCGCTTCGCCGCGGGCGTTCCGATCCCCCGCGCGGCTCAGTCTGGAATCTTCGGGAACTGCGCAATGCGTCGCCGCCGCGCTGCCCCTTGCGCACAGCATCTCGCCCGCCCGGCACCGCGCCGGCAGACGTTCCCGCCAAACCGGGCAGGCGCTCCCCAGCAGGTCTGCTGCTGACGCTGCACTGCCGCCGCAGCGGAACAAAAACACGTAGCCGCGCGGGCCGCGCCCGCGCGCGAGGTCGCGGGGCCACCGTAATCGCTCGGCGAAAGATGCAGTCAGCATGTCCCCCCTTGCTGACGGGTGCATGGGCACCGCTCCAGCGCGGGCAGGTCGGCGCAGGCGTCGCCCAGCCAGCGTGGCGTCGGTCGCCAGAGAAGACGCGGCGCGCCCGGGCGCCGCGGCGGACGTGTCCCTGCGCCAGTCGCGCCGGCGGCGGCGCGCTGCTGCGAGGGCAGCCTGCTGCGCGGCAGCCATCACGCGCTGCGCGGCCTCCGGCAGCTCCAGCTCCCGACGGCGAGCGCGCACCACATCTGGCGGCGGCCTGCTTGCAGCGGCGGCGCAAGCGTTGCCGTCGGCTGCCGCGTTGCCGACGCGGTCCCGCATGCTCAGCCCCTGGAGGCGCCTCCGCTGGCATCCTGTGAATTGCACCCAGCGGGCCCGGAGCCGCCCGGTGCGCGCGGCATCCACCGTGCAAATGCGGCGTGCTCCCAGTTCCGCGGGTCGGCGCCAGCCTCGATCTTGGCGCATGTCGCCCCAAGCAGTGGCTGTCCGAAGCGAAACTGATCAGGCCGCCAACTACGCGAGCCGCCGCAGCCGCCGCGGCCATCACCTCGACACTCTGCGCCGTCTGCAGCCAGGCGACCGGGCTGGCGAGGTTTGGGGGCCGCGAGCTCCTCGACCTGGAGACACCACGCTGTCGCGCCAGCAGCGGGTCGGCGCAGCAGCGATCGCGAAGCGGCGAGGGCCGTCCAGCGCCAGGCACAGCCAATAACGGTGCTCGTCGGCGGCCAGCCCGCAGCGCGGGTACAAGCCCGCATCGCCTTTCCACTTCGCCGCAACGGCCTGGGTCTCGACACTGCAACAAGACGCCGCGCAGGGCCCCGCCGGCCTCGAGCGGGAGCTCGCTGGCGGTGAGCAGGCGGCGGGTGGCCCTCCTGTCCACCCCGCCGGCCAGGTGGGCGAAGCGACCTTGCGACACTCGGCCTGGCTCTACGCTGCAAGGAGCACGCGTTACTGGATCGCCTCGAGTGCTCACCCATGTGGCCCCGTAGGCACGCCGACCCAGCGTTCTATGTCACCGCCCAGCCCGAGCTCGCGCATGCTGCGCAGCTCAGCTGCCACCAAAATGACAGCGCGAGCAGCCTCTGCGTTGACTGCGGCAGCCGTGTGGCGCCACGAACACGAGGCGAGGTCGAGCTGGACCCCCTGGAACGCTCGTGCAGCCTGCAGCACTGGCGCGACGCACACAGACGCCTTGGGGTCCAAGCGCCACGTGGGGCCAAGGACGCCGAACATGATCTCAGCCGCCGCTCGGGGCCGGTGGCCACTGGCAGCCTTGGCAGCGCGGCGGAGCTGCTCAAGCTCTCCTGCGGCGGGGCGATCGCAGGACGACCCGTAGGTACCCGCGGTCGTGCCAGCAGCAGCCCCCAGCAGACAGCGCCATCGGAAAAAAAACACAGGCAAGCGGCGGAAGCGAGCAAAGCGGCCACAACCCTGCGCGGCGGATACTGGTTGCTTGCGTTGCCGGCCAGCGTCCGCGATGACCCCGAGGTCACGGATCTCCGTCCCCACGGAGATCGATGGCATCTCGTGCTGGAGCCACCGCCACACCGAGGTAGGCTTCGGCGACGGCCTCGGCAGTCTTGTCCGGATCGCCACGCGCCCAGAGCGTGAGGTCATCGACATAGACGCGGCGCCTCAAGCCATCGTGCACCCGCCCAATACTTCTGCACCACGGTCGGACCAAGACGCTCAGCACAAACACGGCCAGCGCACACCCAGGGAGGATCCCATTGGTCGGCGCCTACGGGAGGCCAGGGGCGCCGCCGACGCGCAACCTGCGAGGCGCCGTGTAGGTGGCGAGCAGGGGGCCGCGCAGCCACTGAGGGACGCCAGCCCGAGTCAGCACCGTTCCAGAAGCCATCGGCTAATCGTGGTCAAAAGCCTCCCTCCAGTCCAGGGCGTGGCCGCAGACGGCCTCGCCCTCGGCTTTCGCGGCCTCGAGCTCAAGGGCGAGGCCCCACGCAAGCTCCTCGGACCCGACGTCGCCATCGCTGGCGCCATAGCGCAAACAACTGCGCCTGGCCTGCAGCCCGGAAGCAGCCAAATAGGCCAGCGGTCCATGGACCCGCCGTTGCCAGCCTAAGGCAGCAGGCTGGCAGAGCTCGTCTGGCGAACGGCCAACGCGCTCCACCGCCTCGCAAAGCTCCGCGACCCACTCCAAGAGCTCGGAGGGGAGCAAGCCGAGCTCGGCCACCGTCCAGCCCTCGAGGCCAAGCGCCTTGCACTTTGCCATCATCGCGCGCACCAGTCTGGCCGTCCACGGCAGTCTCTGAAGGGTGGCAGAGAGTCGAGCTCCACGAGCTGGTGCTCGCTGTCGGGCAGCTCCGGGACGCGCCGCTGCCACAGCGCCCGCCACTGGTGCTCGAAATGCTGGAGCTCGGCAGCCGCGCCGCCAAACACCTCCGACCGACCCCCACAGGCTGCGCACGAGCCGCGGATCCGTCGTCGCTCGGTGGGGCCGGCACGAGGGCAGCGGGCAGGGCGCTGCCTGCGCGGATCCAGCGGTGCAGGCGCCCTCCTCTGTTTGCCCACGCCTGCCGAGCCCACTCCTGCCAGGAGTCGCGGCGGCGTGCACGCGCAGCCTGCCCCGCCTCCTGATGCTCCGCCTCCGCCCGTGCGAGGCTGCTGGCAAGCAGGCCGGGCAAGCAGGTACGGCCGTGCTGCTGCAAGAGCGCACACGGACCGCTAGAGCGGCCGACGGGGGCCTCAAGAGGCTGGCGAGAACCCCTCGGTGATGGTGCCGAGCTGCTTTCGCTATGGCGTCCCGCTCCTCCCGCTCCCCTTCCCCTCGCTCTTCTGACAAAAAACGGGTCGACGCGGACCGCATCACATCAGACGGCAACAGACCATCTGTTACTAGATCGCACCATCAGACGAAGCTACAACAATCGACCAGCCAAGAGAGGACAGAACCACTCACGCACAGACCAAGCACAATCAGGAAGGGCAAGAGCAGTTCAGACCACAGGAGAGTAAGTCACTCATGTGTCCGCAGGTCAGCCCCTCACGGACTGCAAACACATTGATGGCACAGGGGGCAACACTGAGGAGGCGTGAAGAACGGAAGAGGTGGAGGAGGGGAGCGGAGACAGGAGTACAAGAACAATATGAAGATTTCGATGGCAGGGAAGCAGAAGCCGATGAAGAGTACGAAATACAGCAGGATAAGCATAAGGATAATGATAAGCCAGTTGACCAACCACACTTCTCTCATATAGATGTGTGTTGTAAATACATGTATACATATCGCCACATCCAGATCTCTATATAGAGATACACGTTTAGGTATAGGTATAGATGTAGATATGCCGACTCAGCGCACGCAAGCATCCGCAAGATAGTGGGAACAGGTCTAGTGCACAACCAAATATATCAACATCATGTCAAAAAACATGGCACTACATCCGACCATACCAGTTTGGGCCGCAGACGATAGACCGCAGAGAGTGATCAAACGATTTGTCAAATCCGCCGACTCTGTCGGCGTGTGTGAGAGGCTTGTCCGTTCGAGTCGTCGTCTCCGTCATCCGTCAGTCGTCGTCTCTGTCGTCCCCCTTCCCTGCGCCCCCCTTTCCCTGGGCCCGACGCCGCTCCCCCCCCTTTTCCTGGGCCCTCCTCTAGCGCTGGGCCCGTCGCCGCTCCCCCCCTCCTTCCCTGGGCCCTCCTCCTCAAGCGCGCCAGCCAAAGCAAAGTTGAACAACGTCATAACTGACTTGACGGGAAGCCCTTTCCTTTTGATCCCTCCCCCGCCAGGAGTGGGGGGGGTCCCGAGTCCGATCCCGGGGGAGGTCCCGGGGGGGGGGGGTCCGAGAGGGGTCCGGGGAGGGGTCCCGGGGGTGGTCCCTGGGGGGGTCCCGGGGAGGGTCCCAGGGGGGGGTCCCATGTCAAATACGATTCTCATCCGGAGAGTCTCGGGGCCCAAAAAAGCCCCAAGACGGGCCACGAGTGCCCCAAGAGGCCTCCAAGACTGTCCAACGATCTTTCCAAGACGCGTTGACGACCTCAAGACGGCCCAAGAGCCATGCAAGACGGACCAAGAGGCCTCCAGGAGCACTCTCAAGACTGCCCCACATGAAAATACACCTGAGAAAACCCAATCAGTGGATGATTTGAAAATAAAAACTATGGATCTTGAGATCGATTGTGAGAGCGATGATGAGATCGATCGTGGAATCGATAGTGAGGACAATTGTAAAGTCGATCGTGAGACCACATCGATTCAATGAGATCGATAGTGAGATCGATCGCGAGATCGCTCGTGGGATCTCTAGTGAGATCGCTTGCGAGATCGAGATTGAGATCAATTGTGAGATCGATGGTGAGATCGATAGAAAAATGGGTAATGAGATCGATGGTGAGACCGATCGATAAGAAGATCGACCAAGAACTCAGGAACCTGGGAACCTCGCCGCCCTTGAGATCGATTGTGAGATCGGTGGTGAGATCGATAGAGAAGTGGGTCATGAGATCGATGGTGACCGATCGATAAGAAAATCGACCAAGAACCCGGGAAGCCGGGAACCTCGCCGCCCTCCGAAATCGGCCCCGAACCCGGAACCGGGAACCTGGGAACCCGGAACCGGAACCCGAGAACCCAGCGTGCGACCAAAATCGGCGGGGCACTTTCGCCAAATCTTTCAACATCCGCGAGGACCCCTTCGGTGCAAGCATTGATTGGGGAAAATCACTGATTTCCCATTGGTTCTTGAAGCATTTCAGCGTTCTCGCCTCTTCCGCTCCCCGACGCTCCAAGACGGCCCAAGCCCCTCGCCCCAAGACGGCCCAAGAGGGCTCTGGGAGGGACCCAAAACGGTCCCAGAGGGCCCCAAGACGGCCCAAGACGCCTCCACGACAGCCCAAGAGGCCGCCAAGACGGCTCCAGGAAGGTGCCCAGACGAGTGACCAGAGCGGACATTTCGAGCCCTCGGCCCCGAGAGGCTCCCAGGAGGAACCAAGAGGCCCCCAGGAGGCCCCCAAGAGGCCCCCAAGAGGCCCCCAGGAGGCCCCCAGGAGGCCCCGAGAGGCCCCCACGAGGCTCCCAAGAGGCCCCAAAGAGGCTCCCACGAAGCCCCTAAACTGTTCCCCAGAGGCCCCCGAGAGCGCTTCAAAGAGACCACAAGAAGCATTCATGAGGACTCTTACCCACGTCAGCGTCGTCGTCGTCGCCGCCGCCGCCGTTGTCGTCGTTCCCCTTCAGGGTCGGCGGCACCGGCCGTAAGGCCTTCACAATCAAATGAATGCCAGAGAAAATCACAGATGCAAAAAGTCGCTGAGGCTGTCAACATAGCATATAGCGCGGATTCCAAGAGCCGTCGAAAGGCCACCTTGGATACATGTCGCGCCTTCCAAATTCAGCTCAGCAGCCTCGTTGCCCAAGGTCCACGGAACAGTCCTCCCACTGTGGAAAACAGAACTAATAAGGACCGTCTCGGAGCCAGTGGACTAACCATGAGTACAGCTGACTCCCTCTTCATACTTGCCCTTCCCTTGCGAAACCTCAATTACTCCTGTGACAGTTTGCTCGTGGTGGCGAAATTTTTAACTACAGCCGCTCCATCTCCCCCCTTCCATCTCTCTCTCTCTCTCTTTCTCTGTCGTTTTCTCTGTTGTCTCCCTCTCTCTCTCTTTATCAGCTGTCTCACTCTCCCTCTCCCTCTCCTCTTCTCTCTGTCACTCGCTCTCTCTCTCTCTCTCTCGTTATCTCCCTCTCCCGTTCCTCCTTCGCTGCCTCCCGCTCCTGGGCCATGCTGCCTCGCGGCTGACATTTCCTGGGGAACAAAGAGTGGCGGAATGCCTCTGCCGTATCTCTCCGAACGGCTTAATCGGAATGGCGTTCTCGGAGACCAGCACGAACCTCGCAGAGACACGCTCGGCCAGAATCGTTGCATGCCGTGCTGTGCACAGCACCGTGGCCCTGCTTCTTAACAGTTGCTATAAAGACTCTGGCCCCGCCTCACCGTTGCGCCTCAGCACTGCCGCAAGATCTGCGCAAACGTGCAGTTCGTTGAAAGGAAGGGGAGCGGGCGGGGCAGGGGCAAGGGGCAAGAGAAAGAAGCGGGAGTGGATGGAGAGGGAATGGTAACGAGGGACGGTGGATGGGCAAGGTAGGTGCGCTCGCGCCATGTCTAACATCCTACCCATCCCACCCATCCCTTCCCACTGCGCTGGTTTTTCTCTATCCGCCAACGCGTGTCATAGCGGACCTAGAACTCACAAAGGGACCTCACTCATCGTGTCATGCGCAATCAGGAAAGGGAGCTGCGTGAATGGAAGGAGGAGGAGTAGGCGGATGAGCAGGAGGATGAGCGGGAGGAAAAAGAGGAAGATGAAGAAGGAGCAGGACGAGGCCGAGGGGGGTGACAGCGATGGAAAACGGATCCAGAAAAGTGGCCCGCGTTGGGGCGAGAGTGGAGTGCCTTTTTTTTCCGAACGACGGGAGCAAAACGCCGATGCGAAAATGAGGCCAGCATTGCAGCGGTTACATCCTTTGGAAACACCCAACACAATATGATTCCAAACGAACAGATTGAAGAAATCCGCCGGCCCCCTTGTGGGGCCACCAGGCTGCGAGGCACGGGTTCGCAGTTTCCAGTACCAGTTGTAGCTTGTAGTTTCCAGTGTTACAGTTCTGCTTCTTGCTGGTTACTGTAACTATGTGATTGACCGCGCGAGGGGGGGGGAGGCCCAAAACAGGATTTTTTAGCACCCCCTGGCCGCGTTGTCTGAATTGCTGGGGGGGCTCGAAATCGACACCCCTCACGCAGATCCGCAGGGTCAGGGTCCAAAAACACAGGGGATTTGCCACATTTCTGAAATTCTGTGCCACCCCTCACGCAGATCCGCGGGGTCAGGGTCCAAAAACACAGGGGATTTGCTACATTTCTGAAATTCGGTGCCACCCCTCACGCAGATCCGCGGGGTCAGGGTCCAAAAACACATGGGATTTGCCACATTTCTGAAATTCGGTGCCACCCCTCACGCAGATCCGCGGGGTCAGGGTCCAAAAACACACGGGATTTGCCACATTTCTGAAATTCGGTGCCACCCCTCACGCAGATCCGCGGGGTCAGGGTCCAAAAACACAGGGGATTTGCCACATTTCTGAAATTCGGTGCCACCCCTCACGCAGATCCGCGGGGTCAGGGTCCAAAAACACAGGGGATTTGCCACATTTCTGAAATTCGGTGCCACCCCTCACGCAGATCCGCGGGGTCAGGGTCCAAAAACACAGGGATTTGCCACATTTCTGAAATTCGGTGCCACCCCTCACGCAGATCCGCGGGGTCAGGGTCCAAAAACACATGGGATTTGCCACATTTCTGAAATTCGGTGCCACCCCTCACGCAGATCCGCGGGGTCAGGGTCCAAAAACACAGGGGATTTGCCACATTTCTGAAATTCGGTGCCACCCCTCACGCACATCCATCGCAAGGCGTGGTAACCCAAACTGCGAGTACTCCCTCGGCCCTTTAATCCCAAGGTGTGGTAACCAAACTCGTAAACCATACACGTCTTACCAATCGCCCTGTGTGGTAACCCCTCTTGTGATCAGTTGGTTTTGCCGATTGCGAATCGGCCTCGCATGAAGTTCCGATACTGCTGCACGACAGCGCCAAAGCCTCATGACTTAGCTCTTCCATGGCCCATTCTCCGAGAGAGGGGGCCGGCGGCAGGGGGCGAAGCCCTTACGGATTATCCTTGCGAAAGACCCACCTACACGCAGTTGTGAGTACCATCGTTGCGGGTATCGCCTTCGGGGGATCTCCTCATGATGCGACGAAGCATGCGAAAGGTGTGCCTTCGATGGAGACCCCATGGGGCAACGAAACGCTGCACTGGGCGGGGGACACGCATCCGAGCACCGCCACTGGGGCCTTCGGTGCAGGCCCGTATGGGGCCACGAAACGCTGTTCTGGGTGGGGAGACGCATGCGAATACCGCCACTGAAGTTTTAGGTGGAGCTCCCTATGGGGCAACGAAACGCTGTACAGAGTGGGGGAGGCGCATGCGAACACCGCCACTGGGGCCTTCGGCGGAGCTCCCCTATGGGGCAACGAAACGCTGCAATGAGTGGGGGAGACGCATGCGCACACCGCCCCCACTGGGGCCGCTGGAGATGCCTAGTGTGGGAGACGCATGCGAACACTGCCACCGGGGACTTCGGTGGAGTTCCCTACAAGGCAACGAAACGCTGTACTGGGTGGGGACACGCATGCGAATACCGCCACTGGGGCCTTAAGTGGAGCTCCGTATGGGGCAACGAAACGCTGTACCGAGCGGGGGAGGCGCATGTGAACACCGCCGCTGAGGCCTTCGGTGGAGCTCCGCACAGTGCCACGAAACGCTGTACTGGGTGGGGGAAACGCATCCGCACACCGCCACCACTGGGGCCTTCGGCGGAGCTCCCACTGGGGCAACGAAGCGTTGTATTGAGTGGGGGAGACGCATGCGACCACCGACACTGGGGCCTTCGGTGGGAATGCCTAGTGCGGGAGACGCATGCGAACACCGCCACTGGGGCCTTCGGTGGAACTCCCTTCAGGGCAACGAAACGCTGTACTGTGCGGGAAACGCATGCGACCACCGACACTGGGGCCTTCGGTGGAGCTCCTCTTGGGACAACGAAACGCTGTACTGATCGCAAGAGACGCATGCGAACACCACCACTGGGGACTTTGGTGGAGCTCCCTATGGGGCAACGAAACGCTGTACCGAATGGGGGAGGCGCATTCGAACACCACCACTGAGGCCTTCGGTGGAACTCCCCATGGGGCCACGAAACGCTGTACTGGGTGGGGGAGACGCATGCGAACACTGCCACTGGGCAGCGAAACGTTGTATTGAGTAAAGAAAACGCATGCGACAACCGCCACTAGGCCCTTAGATGAAGATGCGTAGTGCGGGAGACGCATGCGAACACTGCCACCGGGGCCTTCGGTGAAGCTCCCTACAGGGCAACGAAACGCTGTACTGAGTGCTGGAGACGCATGCGAACACTGCCACCGGGGCCTCCGGCGGAGCTCCTTACAGGGCAACGAAACGCTGTACTGAGTGGGGGAGGCGCATGCGAACACCGCCGCTGGGGCCTTCGGTGGAGCTCCCGACAAGGCAACGAAACGCTGTACTGAGTGGGGGGGGCGCATGCGAACACCGCCACTGAAGCCTTCAGTGGAGCTCCCCATGGGGCCACGAAACGCTATACTAGGTGGGGGAGACGCATGCGAACACCGCCAGTGGGGCCGTCGGTGGAGCTCCCTATGGGGCAACGAAACGCAGCGACATGGATGGGAGGCGGGAGGTTATGGGAGGCGGGAGGAGGGGGAGGTGGGAGGAGGGAGGAGGCGGGAGGAGAACGCGGGGCGCTGTCTCTCCGAAACAAGGACCCAACGCCCCAGGATGGCTGGGGAAAAACACGTTCGCACAATCATGCGTGAAAAATCATGAGCGGGACATCTTCTGGACAGAGCCAATTTGAATTGCGACCTGACTCGCCATGGACAGCGGTCAGATAGTGTCAGCACTCAGCTAGCTTCATACACACGAGCAGTCGAGAGCATTGAAGCACGGGCGCCAAGGAGAGTACGTGTTCACGGCCCAGCCACCCCACGCCCCCCCACCCCACCCCCCAACGACCACACCTAAAGGTATGACAGCTTGGCGCCGCGCGTGCCAAAGCAAGACCAGGCTCCGACCCCAAACGGGCGAAGTAATTGTCAAGTCCGCTCCAATTCCTCCCACCAACTGGCCCACCCCCGACCCTATCGCTTGCCGAACAGGCTACGCCATTGATGGTGCACGAGCGCGGGTAAAGAGAGGGGGGGAACATATACCACAGGAGAGAGAGCGGGTTAGAAGGACATCGTCTCTCAGCGGGTCCGCTGCTGGCACCCTCGCGTCAGAAGGCATGGCGGGGCACGCTATTCGCACTCTCGGCCAAGCCGCCCGCGCCTGAGCACCATCAGAGAGACGGTCCTGACAAACGCATTCCACGGTGTCACCACACAGTGGGCATGCAATGCAGCGACAGCAGGCAGCAGCACCCGTTCCCAGCTACCCCATCCCTGCAACAAACCCGATCCTGCTACCGCTTATCTGCCGCTCGCCGCGCACGTGGAAGGGTACGGGGGTGGAGACAGAGGGGAATACATGCAGGTGATACTCCATGGTCCCGAGGGGATACACGCTCCGTCGCATTTAAGCCATCGTGGGCACCCGTATGGGCTCTACGGGTCTACCCCCTCTGGAAATAGTGCACCGATGGGGCAGCTTAACATTCTCCTCTCCGCATGTCCTCTGCAGCCAACACTTCGCCAGCTCGGCATGGCGGGGCACGCTGATCGCACTATCGGGCCTCGGACAGCTCGCGGGGCCAAACATGTGACGCCATGAGACAATGCAGCCGCCCTCCCCCACGACCATAACCCTGCTCCAACTCTGCTACTCCTTACTGCCGCTCGCAACACGCATGCGATGCAAGAAGCAGGATGAAGGGGAGATGAGGATGGGAGGGGCCATGGGAGTCACACTGGCCTCAAGAGAGGACACCTCGTGGCCAGCAATGCTCTCCAGACTCGCGGGGGGCGCCCGCGGAAATTCCCGCGCGCTGTCGTCAACGCGTGCGGACATCCACATCCCATACCTCCGTCGCTGCACTGGACTGCGAATCGCCGATCGATGCATGCTGACAAGTCCGCAACAACAGCATGCAGAGGCGCATGGCAGAATGAAGACGATGCAAGAAAAGACGAGGCAATTCGCACTCTTCGTTTTACTCGGAGGCAACAATTTTGCAAGAGAACATGCCGCGGCAGGCCTGGACACCTCATCCACGAGCCTGCTGCAATCTGGAAGTGG